AAAAAGGACCGCGGATGCGGGTTTCGTACGCAAAGGCTCGACATCACGGAAACAGAGAAGGAAACAATGCAACAATGTGCACACTTCAACAATCTACTTCCGTGGATTCGTGTAAATAGAGTCGTGTATCAGTTGCGGTCAAAATTACAGTCGCGTGTTGAAAGCGATAGCAATCTCAGCGATCTCCATATTTCCAATGAGACGAAAATGACATTTCTACATTTAGTCGCGATAATGAAGCGATAATGACTTTCCATCTCCATAGCATTCAAATCTCATCGAATTTACATCAGTTTTATTTGATTGCAGAAGTAGATTCGCGCGTAATAATTTACATTGACAATTTTGCAACTTTGACCGGGATCAATTGACTTCACTCGGCATCTTTGAAAGATGTGCTCGTTACGCACGTCACTCGTACATAGCTCTATCTACACTACACTAAAAGATAATAGGGAAACGTGTGTTATATTCGTTAATGAAAGACACCGTTTGGTTGTTTTGTTTCCAATTTTATCTTTCCCTTTTTTCCACTTTTAATGGCACTTATTACAGATGGTACAAATGATCCTACAAACTAGCGTATGTATTCGCATAGAAGAAAAATTAAACACAGAAGAAAAAGAAGAAGAAAGAAAAGAAAAAGAGAGAAAACAATTCAATCGATTGGACGTAACCGATGTCGGCCGGTCACACCAGGGAACGATGAGGAACGGAATTCGGAAAAAAGGATTAAATGTGGTAAAAGGACTTGACTAAACTGAACGTCGTTTACGACGACGCTCGACGACGTAACATGACAAGTAATCAGATAAGAATGGAAAATTTTTTCGAAAAAGAATAGAGAAAGAGAACGCGGTGACATGCTTGTCTACGGTTATGACAGATTCGAAAGGTAGGAATAGAACAGTCTGGTCCTAAGAGACCGTCTAGAATTCAACTAGACACAAAGGACCGTTTAGAACTAGTTTTATAAGGGAGAAAAACAAAAGTCGTGGCGGACGAGGTTCTTTCTTCGTCACGCGTTAAACGAATTTTCGAAGGAGAGAACGGGGAAAACGTAAAAAAACGTGGTTCACTCTGTCGGACACGCTGTACACGTATACGTAGACATGTGTTTCTCCGGCATTTCTGGAGTTTGCGCAGGCTTCTTCCGAGTTGTTGGAGGCGCGATTGACCAAGAGAAGAATCATGCTGATGGATCACAGGCGCGTTCACGACGGTTGGTCGGTCAGTGATTCTCAGTTTTGCGCACATGGAGGATGTCTTTATTGTGAATTACTACGTGGAGAGGGTAGAACAACAGAGATACTCCCGATGTGGGACCACGCTTGGTAGTACGCTACTCAGGAATAAGGGAAGAAGAAGGTGTCGAGAGGTGTCGAGTTGCGCGATGGCAGATGCACACTCACTCGCTCTTCGCCTGAAGATGCTCGCCTTGGTCCATGGACAGGCAGCCAGCTCCGCCACCGAAGCCGTAGCCCTTAGGGCCGAACTTGCGACCGTGGCAGACTTTGCAAAACAGCTCGCCCTCGTGCTCGGAGCAGTTTGTCGAGTCGAGCGGCTTGCCGCAAAGACCTGTAACACACGGTCGTCGTCCGTTGTTGGAAATTACGATGCTTCCTGCTAGGTGTGCTCGTGTGTCAAGATGCGTCAAGTAAATCGTTGACTGTAAATTGTATTACATGAAACCGAGATCTGTACTTGTGCGCATATGTATGTGTGCGTATATATATATATATATATATATATATATATATATATATGTTTTACGTATCTTTTTCAATTCAACAATTTTCTAAAAGTATAGCTCAAGTAGGCACATTATGATATTTTCGCTACACTTTCATTGTCGAAAAAGAGCATAGGGCACAAATATTGCTCTAAAATCCAAATGCTCAAGTGTTATTATTTTCAAGTATGTAAAGGTATGTAATATAGTTTCAAAATTATTGTACATATATATATATATTATATATATTACATATATATATATAATATATGTCCATAATATATGGAAAAAGTGTTTAAATATTTTAAATATTTGTTAATGTGCAATAAAATATTCAAAAATATATACTGCAGAATTATCGCACGATTTGTCAATTCATATATAATTTATTACTCAAAGTTGCAGCAAATTCATGTCGCATTAGAAATAGTTATATGCGCATTTTTTTCAAAATATAATAATGTTCAACATTGAGATTATTGTAAATTATATTCTCTTCGGTCATTGCACTCGAAATTATTACCAGGCAGTCGACAATTGATTTTTGGCCAACTTACAGGCTCGGTTACAATCGCAACGGACAATCCAAGGATAAAATTTATTTTAGAACAGTTCTAAAAATAAAAGATTTGATAATGCTTTTCGATAATAGAATTATTTGATCATTCTAGAACGTAGAAAAGTATATCATCAAATTTACGTAAGACGATAAATTTCAAACAAATTAAAAAAAAAATAGAAGTATAGAAAAGAGAATTTTAAATAATTCTTCTGTTAATACATTCTTTATCATACATAGAATTATACACAAAAAATCAGTCTTATTGAAATTTTTGACTATTGAAACAATGATTGCATAATAAATACATTACTTCAACCTTTTATTGAAAGAAACTACAGCTGTTTGAAATAAACTTTTAATATAAATTAAAAGATTTCAGTAAATTCAATATTCACTGCTATTAATATATGCTAATTGATAATGAAATATTTTGCTTTCTACAAAGAATTATATATATTATCTTTATTAAAAATTGTATATATATTGTATATCTTTTTTTTATTTTTAAGTTGTAATATCTCGTAATATCTCGTAATATCCATTCTTATCCATTAGCTTCAAAATATTGATTCGTTATACTTATACGAACATTTGTTTGCATTCTATTTTCAAATTATAAAATTATATTTATTTACTCACCGCACTTGAAGCACGTTTTGTGCCATTTCAGTCCACCGGCAACCCGCTCTTCTGCAGCATAAACGGATTTGCCACATTTAGGGCATTTTGGATGTTCCACGGGCTTGAAAGGCATGTTTACACTGAAAAGAAAACTTCGTTATGGCATATATCTCATTGCATTAAAATTAATTATAAAATCGTTTACTGTATAAAGTCAAGAAATTATTATAGTGTCCATTGTTATTTTTTAACGTTGTACAACTGAAAAAATGACATGACTTTATAATAATTCTCTTAAAATGCTCTAATACAGTTAAAAATGTATTAATTTATTATTTAAACTTTGGAAATAATTTTTATTCTTTCTAAGAAAATTTTTGTCAAAGAATCAATAAAAAAACAGCATAGTTTAATGTTTAATTGCAAAAACATACGTTTCTTGAAAAAATTCAATTTTGAAATCCAAAATTCAGTTTTGAAATTCAAAATTCGCGAAGATGTAATCAAATTCGACATCTTTATTAATATCGAGGGGAATCATCGCTGGTACGGTAATCCATTTCGGTTACCTAACCGGTCGCTTACGACGACGTAAACAATCTGCGTTTCCGTCTGACTCGTCGGCAACCAGTTCTATTTTTGTGACCAGCTTAAAGCGTACACGGTTAAGCAAACGAAGATAGAAAATGGAATAAAAGTATATTACGCGCTATATCAGAGCAACGAACAGATCTGTAGATAGCAAATACATAAAAGATAATACATAAAAGATTTGTCTTCCCATTCTTTTATATTTAAAGAGCTTTTAATTAATACATTTATGCGGATATTTAAAGAATTACGAATACATTGTCATTATAAATATTTATTATGTTTGAAATATATTGATAGAATGGTACTAAAAATTAAACAACAAAAATGTTTGCAATTTTTCAAAGCTCAAATATTAATGACTTTTGAAATAAAATGTGAAGTAAAAAGAATTAAAAAACAGAAAATAACATCTGAAACATAAATGTTACAAAATAAAATTATTTTGAATTTAGATATATTGTTATCTTTTTTTTTAAATAACGTTATGTCATGGAAATAGTTCACGATGTATAAATTAAAAAATTGTATGAGTATATATAACTCGAATTGATCGATTGATAGTTCAAATTCTTTAAACCTTAAGTAACTTGTAATAAGTAAAATAAAGTTACCTGTTCGAAAAAGAATTTATCCCTCCATATTTAAAAAAGTGAAACAATACGGACGATAATTTCAAATTACTTTACATGATTATAAAAGACTAGTATTGTATTTAGAAACCGCCACGTATTTATTTGATGATAAAATCTTAATAATTCCGATAGAGATATAATATAGAACGAAAATCTCTATTTAAAAACAATGTTTATGTCTCTGTAAACTATTGTTGTTGAAAATACAAAAATAAATAGTAATTGACTAATACACTTGTTGCAACAAGATAGTAATAGTATCTGGCACGAATATTAATGGATATGCGTAATAGCGTTTGGCAATGGTTAATCGTATACCTGTTGCAACAATATTTTACTTTAACAGATAAATGTAAATAATAGTGATAAACAAAGATAAATTATACTATATTTTAATATGTTAAGACAATGCAAATAGATATAATGCATTTTATGTCAATAATATTTCGCAAATATAATAAGAATAGTAATAAGTGATGTAAATATAAAAGATGTAAGAATAAGTTCTTTTAAATTTATTATTATTGTAGTAATATTTACATAAAATAAAAATGTACTTCGTTATTACGTATTTTAGATAATAAATGTGTATTCTACGTGTTTTCGTATAATTTTAAAAATCTTTTTTATTTCCATGTCTCTTATTCCATAGTAATCTACACGACAAAAATAATTCATTATCCGCTCACTTTTTCATTCTCATTATTATTATAGCAATTTATGCATATTATATTATCTGTCATTGCAAGAATTTAATTTTCAAATTATAATAAATATGTATATTTATATATAATAATAATAATAAGCACTGTGTAATAATGAAAATGTTTAGCGATTTTAAAATATGATACTATTAGTAATGCTGTTCTGTAATAATATCAAGAAGAATGATGCTATTTTTTTTATTAAAGCATAAATAAAAAGTTAATTTTATATTTCTTTGAGAAGTAAGTAGTTTCTATCTAATCTAAAAAAGTGGGCCATTCTATTCCATTCTTATTCTGCCTTCCTTTACATAGTTTGTTACTCATTGTGAGTAAAATAAATTTAAATCAGAGATTTTGATTAATTTAAATAGTTAAGTATAGCATATATGAAATAAGAAAACATTAATTGAATTAATTACCATAAATTATTAATAATCATTAATAAAAAACATTTCGCTAGCCGCTTAACATAAAGATAGTACATCCGCTACAGTTGTTAATTTTTTAAATCAATATTTAAAAATATTCTAATCTTAATTAAATATCTAAATAAATTTTTATCTTGAAAAATTGATTTTGATATATATATATATATATATATCTATATCAAAGATATATCCTATTGTAGTGATTCGCGCGCTTCGGCTGCTCAAATATGCCCCGTTATCACTGACAGTAGTATCCAGTAGCGATATGACACGCCAGTAGTAGTAGTGGCGGCAATAGAGGCAGTAACAAGTCGCACCGCACGGCACGCTAAGGAGAAAGAGAGAAAGAAGAGAGAGAGAGAGAGAGAGAGAGAGAGAGAGAGAGAGAGA